AGTCACCCTGCAGCCACCGGCCCCAGCAACACCCCGGGGTGGCATGACCGTGGGGATGCGGGGCAGCCCCCTGCCTGCTCGGGGCCAGACCCTGGGGGCTGCGCTGAGCTGGGTCTGGAGGGGCTTTGCCCCCTCCTGCCCTGCTGGCACCAGGGCAAGCGAGAGAGTTGCAGAACATCCCCTGGGGTGGAGAGGGAGCGATGCCCCAGGCGCTCCCCACTCCCTGCCCCAAGGCTGGACCAGCTCCCGGCCACTCACTGAGCTCCCCTCCATCCCTGCGCTGCCCACAGCCGTGGCGTGGACTGGACCCGGACCATAACAAAGACAAGGAAGTGAATTTCTAGGAGTACGTCACCTTCCTGGGGGCCCTGGCCACGATCTACAGCGATGCACTGAAGGAATGCAAAACGTAGAGCTGGGCCAGCTGGCGGGGCGAGGGGCCCCAGGGTCCTTTTGGGGTCCTTTTGTAAGGACCTTTTGTAAAGTTTTTTTTTAATTTCCTATTGTAAAGTTTTGTTGCTGTGTTTCTGGTCATTTTTGAATCTTAAATAAATTAAAACCTCATGGATGGCACTGTTTTTTCTCTTGCTGGGGGTGAGTGGGAAGGACTCAGCGAGGGGCTGCACCCGATGCTCATGTCCCTGCGGATGAATCCTGTTGGGTGCTGGTGATGCTCTGCCTGGCCGCCTGCCTGGGACTCCCACCCAGGCACTGCACCTTCGGCTTTGCAAGGCCTGGTTTGCCAGGAGACTGGGGTTGAAGCTCATCCCCCTGCTCCCCCAAATGGAGGTCGTAGGGGTTGTTCCACGAACCTCAGATTCTGAGATCCAGTGCTCACCTGAGCATCAATATTAGGGGGGGAAAAAAAAAAGTATCCATCCCTCCAGGCTCAGTGAAACACCTGAGAACATGGCTGCACCACGCTTGCATCCCAGAGGCAGGTGAAACGGACCCCCCTACAAGCCCTTGGCCCTTTTTATGCCTGATCTGTTAATATTTGAAGCTGGCATGATGCTGTTCACAGGCATCCCAGCCTGCCTGCATCCATCCACACCCCTGTCACTGCCCTGCTGCCGTGCCCTCAGGGCCGTACTGGCTCCGTCCCTGCAACACCAACACTCCCAGCCCCGCGGCTGCACTCGGCCACGGAGCAGAACCAACACCCCACGGCGACTCTTGCAGCAGAGCGTGGGCTGCCACGGCATGGGAGCCAGGCCCCAAGGCAGGGCATGTGCCGGGAGCTCCCGGCGCGTAGGCACGTGGCTTCCGTGGCAGGTTGGGCAGCAAATGGCAGCATGAGGACCCATGGTGCACACCTGTCCCTTCTTGCCTGCCCCACGGCGCATGCGTGTCTCCTCCCACCTCCCTACGTGGCACAGGCACAACCCTTCACACCTCCCCACGCGTGTCCTGTCACGTCTCACCAATGGTGCACCCGTGTCCCGCTGATCAGCCCTGCGTGGCTCCCCTTCCCGGGGAGGATGCACCCGTCTCCCCCCATCATACAACCTGTCCCTTTGTTTCACTCTTTTGCAGTTTAGGCTTTTTCTGGCACCAGCTCCTGGATTAGGAGGCTGACGGGGAGATGTTTCACCACCGCTCTCCTTCCCATCTCCTAAAAACCTTAACGGCTAGCACGGGCTTTTTGCTCTGCCAGTCCCACCAAGCACGGACTTGGGATGAAGGGCCTGGGCATCCTTGGGCACAGGCTCCTCACCAGCCCCCTTAGACCGTCTTTCCCCCAAGACACACAGGGTTTAGCAGCCTGTGCCAGGCACTGGGAACACCACGGGGTCTCCCGCATGTGGCGGCATCTCCCCAACACTGGGAACAGGTAGCAATTACCAATGCCCTCGGTTTCCAGCAGCAATTACAGCTGCTGGGAAATGCCATCTCCTAAGACTGGCTGGCAGGTTTCCGGCATGCTGGCATGCCCGGATTTGCAACATCTTTCTTGGCTCCCTGGCTAGCTGTTAAGAACTGATTCAGGAAGAATGCTGCTCATGATTTTGGAGAGGTGGCTGGAGGGTGGGATGCATTGGCCATCCCCCAGCAGCGGGAGGTCCCAGCAGCGTGCTGGGGGCAGACACCACACCTCCAGTGAAATTCAACAGCGTCAGGGCAGATACAGGAGTGATAAACCACATCCCACATTGGGAAAAAACAGCATCATCCCACTGGAGACCCTCACCCAGCACCTTTCGTGTGATCTGGAAAAAGCCCTCTTCCATCACCTCTGCAAAGACCCCCAAACTCTGCAGGAATGTGCTGGCTCCTGGGAAAACCCCTGCACCATCACTGACCCACGATGCTGGCTCCCTGCAAATGCCTCTTTTGGTGTTTCCTTGTTTTGCCCTAACGAGTTTGGTGCGTCCCCTCCCTCGTTAGCAGTGGGAGCAGCCAGTTCCTAGAGCCAGGCAAGAAATTTCTGCCTAGGCGTTCCGCATAGCCTTGCACAATTCCTGGGGTTATTGCCCTGAAGAAAATTTGAGGGTGTCACAAATCGTAGCTCAGGAAGAGTATAAAAGAGACCTCACCTCCACCACACCGTCACTGCTCCTGCCCACTCCTCTCCTCCTGTGCACCGCTGTCTGCAGAAGTCAGCCCCAGCACCGCTCGTGGGTAAGTAGGTCCTTGCCAAACGGTGGCTTCAGGCTTCGTGCTGCTGGAAGGGCCACTGGGATGAGCCCGACCTCGCCAGACAGCCAGAGCCTGGCTGGGGCTCCCGGAGGAGAGGGCAGTCCTTCTCCTCCGATGGGGTTTAATGTTTTGCTGCCTGTCCCTTCCTAGCAAGATGAAAACCGACCTGGAGCTCGCCTTGGAGTGCGCCATCAACATCTACCACCAGTATGCCATGAAGTGCCCCATAGATGACTACCTGAGCAAGACTGAGTTCTCAAAGCTGCTGAAGGAGACCGCCAAGCCCTTCCTCTACAACACCATGCCGGTAAGAGCCAAGTGTGGCCCAGCTCTCCTAACACTGGTGAGAGCTTGCAGGAGTGGTGGCCTCCTCGGGGCATGGGGGTGGCTGAGAGCCTCCCAAAGGGAAGGGAGGGTTTTTCTAGGGTTTTCCTGAAACCTTGCTGGGCGAGCCTCGCGCTGTAGCTGTGGGCTGGCAGGGTTACCCTGAACCCCGCTGTGCTTCAGGCTGACTCTTTTTCACGTTTGTCCTGCTGCAGCCTAACATGACCATTGATGACTACATAAGCAAGCTCTTCGCCAGAGCAGACTGCAACCACGACGGTCGCCTGAAGTTCACAGAGTTCCTGACCACGCTGAATCTCGTAGTCATTGATGCCCACAATAGGTCCCACCAGTGTTGCGGGAGCCATGACAAGGATCCAGATGCTGGTCACGGCCAGGACCACGCCCACGTTCCCAGCAAGTGAAGTGGTTCCCAGAGTGACTGTGCCCATGGGATTGTGCTCTTCCAGCAGCATCGTCCCCTCCATTTGTCCACAAGCACAGACAAACCTGTAACCAAAGCTTTGTCATCTGCTTCTGCCTACAGCATTGAAATAAAATTTCTTTCTTCAAGCACCAAATGCATCTGTATTATGTGTCCTGTTGTCTCCAGGGAGGATGCAATATGCACCCAGCCCATGGCTGTAGGGGTTTAAATGCAGATTAAGTTGGAGAAGCAATTGGAAAGGGAAGGCAGCACGGAGGGACCCTGCTCCCTGCACAGCGGGGAGCCAGGAGAGCAGTGCTGCTGGGTCCCAGCTGAGCAGCACAGGCTGCGTGGGCTCCCCATCCTGAAGCATGTCAGACCCTGGCACGCTGCCTTCCCAAGGCTCAGTGGGTTCCCTGCACAGGGTGGTTGGCCCCAGCACCCTTCGCCTCAGCAGACGACGGGGTGCGTAGCACCCCATCACACTGGGGAGGTTCCTGGGCGGGGGAGGCCGGTGGCTGCACAAGAGCATCCTCAGTCCTGGTTCTCCCAGTACCTCTTTGCACCTTCTCCAGGACATGCCAGGGGTGAAGCACAGCCAGGGGCTGCTTCCCCAGGTGGCTGCCAAGACATGGCTCTGGAGCTGGGGGTACATGCAACGCTTTTGCAACCCGCAAAGCAACCAGCACTTATCTTGCAAACCCCAACACAGCAAAGAACAAGGCCGAGGGGCTCTGGAGAGCTGGTGTTAACTCTGCACAATAAAGTTGGATGTTTTTGTTAGCGTGGGGCAACAGTCCCCCAGGTCACAGCACATTTACAAGCCACCACGGGCTCCTGGGGAACAGATACATGAGCGGACAAGAGCTCCTGTATCTGCCAGTGACTGTGCACTGAAGTTGGAAACCCTCAGGCTCAGGAGGCTCCAACATTTCCAACATCAGTTGAAATCAGAAGCCTGTCCCATGTGAAACCGAGCTGCGAAAGTAAGCATGGGGCTATTGCGTGGTTATTTGCACTCGATGACACAGGTGATCACTCTCTGGCTCCACAATTTTGCCATTGGGGAGCAGACATTATTCACTATCCTGCCAGGGCACCCGGCTGTCACTTGGGCATCACTCCCCTTGTGGGGCTGGGCATCGCGAGCTGCCTCCCCCGCAGGTTTTGGGGAACACGGTTGGGAAAGATGGGAATTCAGAGCCCACAGGTCTGTCTGCGTGGGGACTACGCAAGTGCACAGGGCAAAAACCAGCCTCGGCCAATGCTTTGCAAGGCCAGCTGGGGAATGAGGATGCAATTTCGGATTGTTGACATTCCCTAATGAGTAGAGCAGGAAGACAAAAAAAGCAATAAAGTGAGTCAGGGTTACCAGAATAAAACTCATGCAACAGTTCTTGATATTCCCCCCAGGGTCATGCAAGAAGCATCCTCAAACAGGAATGGTTACCCTTTTGTTTTTCTGTTCCTACCCTGTTCCTGGAATCTATTGTCTTATTTTTACATCTTTTATAGTCTCTTCATTCTTCTAGTACCTGTTCTGCTAACGCAAGATGGGTGGTACAGAGGCGACTGTTGCAAAACACTTGCTAGTTAATGCTCCAGCCAGCAAAGACCCCGACCTCAGGTTTTCTTCTTGTTTCATACCCAGTTTCCTCCACAAAGTTTCTGGAGTAAGAGGAAAGGTCCGGTACAAGTGATGTGAAAGCAGAAAGTAATGGAAAATACTCTGGAAAACAATTTATTAAAAGGCAGATGCTGCCTTCATCTTTGCTAGTGTCCAACCTGGTAGTATCGTAGAAAACAGAGATCACATTAACAACCAAGGGACAAAGTTATTCATATCTCTCTGAAACAGCCCATCTTTCTTCTACGTCAAGCATGAGAGCACACAAAATTTTCAGCACATTGCAAAACTTGCAAGGTTTTGGCAAGTTCTGCCAAGATGGTCTTGCCCTTTACGCTTACATTGAGGCGTGACGGTACATCCAGCGTTTTTCCCATTCTTTGCCCAGCACTTGAGCAGCTCAGCCCTGTCAGAGGTGATGGTGGGGTGGAAGGACAGCATTTCCAAAGCCTGGTGGGTGCAACCAGGAACTATGTGCAGAGGTATGAGGTGGGGAGGGGTTCAGAAGTTCCTACCTTGCAATTTCCAGGTACGGGAAATGCTAATTCAAGCTGTTGCTTGCAGCAGGTGTGTCACTATCTCTGATGAAAGAAGACCTAAGACATGTATAAAAGGGCTGCCCAGGCTCTTGGATCACTGCAACAGACCCATCCTCTGCAAACCCTTCTTGGAGACAAGGGTAAGTACCACTGCAATGGTTCTTGCAGGAAATAAGATGAGGGAGAAGCGATTTTGAACAGCATTTCATGCCATGCCTGTTTTATTCCAGGGTGATGCTTTCCACTTGGGCCAGGGTAGGAGGCTGGTTTTGGCTACAACAAGACAAGCATAAATTAATGGCATTTCTGTGGCAAATTAGTGGGGCTGTAATTGTTTCTTCTGGCAAGAAGAGAGCCCTTTGGGGGTGTCATCTGCACGGTGGCACCCATCAGAGAGCAGGGTCTCTGTGCTCAGTGTCTCCAGTGGAAAGGGTTTGTAGCCCAAAGAGGAGAGAGAAATTCGCAGAGAGAGGAGGTGGTCAGGCAGAGGCTGCAATGGAGCCCGTACCTGAACTGTGCTCCCTGCCTTGAAGTCATCCTTGCTGTCCGTGGCACAGTACAGATACGTGACTACAGCCTGATGGGTTTGCCTAATTTGCCTGACAAATGCCTCCCGGTCAGTGAGAACAAGTCGCTTCTTGGGCAAAGTTAAAATTAGAGGTGGTTGGGTGATGCTGTAAAACGTCGATATTCCTAAAACCGCTTATTACCCGCTCAGCGCTGAGGAGCCACCGACTGCCCCTGGGCACGCTGGGTGCTGCTGGTTTGCTCAGCCCCAGTGAGACAGGGCTCCTGGTGGAGATCTGCTGCTACACTGGGGAGGTGCAGCGCAACCCGCCTTGGGGTGCCTGGGGTGGGGGCCAAGAGCATGGCGTGGGGTGCCTGATTTTTGATGCATCTCGTGGCTTTAAGATTTCTCCACGCAGTTTCTGCAGGTACCTCAAGAGCTCAGCCATGTCTGCAAGAAGCCAGACCACAACCACCCTTCCCGAGACTCGGCAGTTCCCTGGAAACTGCACACTGGAGATGGCCCTGAACACCATTGTGCATGTCTACCACCGTTACAGCATCCGGGAGGGCCAGCATGATACCCTCAACTTCAACGACTTCAAGACGCTGCTGACTGAGCAGGCACCAACCTTCCTGCAAGCTTGTGTGAGTGCCACAGGAGCTGTGTTGTGCTCTCCCTGGGGGGTTGTGTGGGGGGGATGAGGCTGAGGTTGCCTCCAGGGATGCTCCTGGGGGAACGGGGTGCAGTCCCCTCCAAGGGCTGTTGGTCCACAGAACGGGTTTCTGTGATCAGACACAGCTTGTCCATGTGCTGTGGGACCATCCACACTCATCCCGCCTGCCACTGCAAGGGTACAGAGCAGCCAAAGGGGCTTGGAACAAGAGCCTGTCCATCTGGGGTTTTAACTAGGGGCTAACTGCAAGGTAGGAGAGGGTCACAATGATCTCACAGCTTCCAAACACTTCCCAGGGCATGCAAGGCTGGCCCGGTTTCCACCAGTGGGAGTGCAGCCCAGGGAGGGGGCATGCTAACAGATGTCCTGTCCCCCAATTTCAGGGCAGGAACCATTGCGACTACCTGAGCAATCTCTTCAAAGAAACAGACTTAAATCAGGACAGAGAGCTGACTTTCGAGGAGTTCACCATCGTCTTGGCCAAGCTGACCGATGATGCTCATCGCATCAGCCACGGGGATGACCGCTGTACACCAGACAAGGATTGAGTCTCAATGCACGACCCATGAAAAACTCAGAGGGGGTTGCTTATAGGAATGGGGCTCTGGCTGCTTTCTGTCTGCTTGGATCACTCACGCTTGTGAGACAATAAAGCATCACTTGAAGTTCACTGAGTCCTTCCTATCTCAGCACTCCCTTTTGCATCCATCTCATGGCTGGGGAGGGTGGCCACCAGCTGCAGTGAATGCATAGTCCTGCTGGAGCTGTGGGATAAAGGCTTGCCTAGATGAGACACCCCAAAAATCCATAAAGGAAGAGGCTTATGATCGAGGTGTGGTGAGTGGGCAAGGGCTGTATTGCTCAGTGTCTGGTCCAAGCAGAGAGGGCTGGACTGATGGGCTAGGAGGGTATTAATGGCCAGAAGACCAGCGCAAGACACTGCCTGAGCTCCGCAAGGGTTTTAACCACCAGCTGCAACATACAGCAGTTGTATTGGAGGTTTTTCTCCTGGCAGAAGAAGTTTTCTGCATAGACTGGGAAGAGCAGAGCCAGCCTAGCTTAGGGAAGCACCTCCTGTTTTGCCCATCCTCATCCAGCTTTTTCCCCATGGCCATGCCAAGTGCGTCCTCTGGATGCAGAATCACCCGTGAGCAGGAAAAATGCATTAATACTCATGACAACAGCAGTTCACAACACAACACAGCCTTTACCACAAAAACAAGCCAGGGTGCTCTTAGGAAAAAAAAATACACACAGAAGTTACTATCTGTATATATAGCTTCTAGTCCGTGGGAAATTGAGATTTAAAATTTTCTCCCTAAATCCCAATGAAAACTTAAATTTCAGAGTTTTCCCACACAGACAAGTCATCCGGAGTGCTCCCTCCCAACTCTGCTGAATCATTTGCTACCCAGCCAAGATGAAACACCCAGATGGTTTTCCATCTCAGAGTTTTCCACCAGTGAAATATTCGCACCAAAACCCTGATGGGCTCCAGCAGAGCACAAGGATCTTGTCCCTGGCTGAGCCATCTGGGAGATGTCTTGCAGCACCAACAAACCATTTCTGAATACTAAATACACTGTAATCCAGCTTTTTTCCTCACCAAGCGTTCAGGTACCACCACCCCATGGGGCTGAGCAGGCAGCTGCCCCAGCACAAGTGAGAGCAACACTTTGCACGTTGCAGCACAGGCAGGAAGGGCAGGTGCAATGGCCAGATCCAGCCCTGCAACCTGCCAGAGCTCCAGGAGGGCTTGGAGAGGGTCCAGCACCCTGCAGCAGTTGTGCCATGCCTGGGCGGGCAGCAGAGCTGGCTCTCAGCTCCCTTTGGGCTGGACCAAGGTGATGCCTGCCAAGCAGCTGAGTTTGTAGCTGTTTGATATGGCTGAGACATATGTGAATGCTTTTTGGCTCGAGCTAAAGGACTGGGAAATCCTTTCTTCTGCAGCTCCAGGATGGGAAAACCTCTAGGCTGCCCCAGCTCCTGTGGTGGCTGCACATGCCAGGTCGCAGCTGGGTCATTGCTGGTCTGATGACGTTCAAAGGTGCTCAGAAGCCAGGGCTCAGAGTGCATCCCCTGGCTTCCCCAAGCTAAAACCACATCTAGCAACCAGAACATATGTCCTATCCTGATCCTGGGCTAAAATCTGCTGTGAAACACAGCAAACCACATAGTGACAAACCCTGCCGTGCTCCCTTCCCACATCAGCCAGTCACTTGCCTGTAAATGTATATTTTGAAAGAGTTTTGCAATGATTGTCAAGCATGGGGTGCCCCGCCAGGGCTCAGGTCCTCAGGGCACAACCAAGCCCAGTCACCCCGAACCAGATCTTTCACTTGCCATGGCTACTGGGCTGCTTGCGCGCCACCTGATGCCTGCTTCCCACTCCTTCCCCTCTGCAGCTCCAGCAAGTGGATGCTTGCTCAACCCCAGTGGCCTCAGGGCCAGGATTACAGCTTGCTGCAGCCACTTCAGCATGGCTTACAGGCATGGCTGGACAGGGAGGCTCCCCCTGCAAGGAGACCTGCAGAGCCAGGCAAAAAGTTGTGCTAGCACATGTTCCTGTGACCCTAAGCGGTACCCAGGCTCCCTGGTCACCTTAGTGACTGCACCGGCATTTAAAAACTAAATACCTGGGGTCTCATCCCTGCTGCCTGGTGGGCACATCTGAGGATGTAGCCACCATCCCTCTTTGGAATTCCCTGGCCCATCGCATACCCTGTAATCCATCCTTGCCCTTCCCTACCTTGGGGATGATAAAATGACTAAAAGTACGGTTTCCTGAAATTGCTACAAAATTCTGCAACTGAGCGGATGGTCCCTGACACCCTGTTGTGAAATACCCTGGCCCTTCTCCAGCAGTTTCATGCATCAAAGCACTCCTGTTGTGAAATGCAGTGCACCCCCACCAGTGAGGGCTGGGGTCCAGACGGCCACTGCGTGTGGACCAGGGCTGCATCTCCAAGCAGCTCCCTGCCCGGTGCTGCTCCATGTCAGCTCGTCTGGAGCTCCTGGAGCTTGCCCCAGGCCTGTCCGTGGCCCTGTTTTGGCCTCCACTTTGTGTCTAATATCAGCATCATGTTTGGCAGGTTAAACAAACCCCCCAAACAAGTCAGCTGAATCAGCAGGCAGAGCATTTTAATGAAGAAGCACTGGAAAGTCTTGTTTTGCTCCTGATCTTAGCTGCTCTGAGCCAAAGCACCCGTGCTGGATCTCTGCAACACTTGAGAAACAATAAAGAAAAAGAAGCTACAAGGTGAGGACACAGTCCTAAGAAGTGAAAATACACCTGTCAGCCACACCTGGTCTCCACAGCTCAGAGCATACCTTGGGTGGGGAGAAACCACCCTTGGCACAGGCTGTTGCGAACCTGAGGAGATGAAATGAAGTTCCTGGAGACCAGCGAGGTTGGGAACCCACCCTGTATTACTTGTCTTTCATAAAGACCTGCTTGCCGCAGGCAGGGGATGGTCCCCCAGTGCTGGGGCACTGCCCTCAGCACCAGCTCTGTCCCTATCCCCCTGTCACACAGGCAACCCTGACCATGCTGTCAGTGCTGGGCTGTGTGAAGCAGTGGGATGCTTTTGGGTGCACCAGGTCCGCAAGGATGGGGATGCTATGGGGTCCAAGCAGTGCTGGCTCATTGGAGAAGTGCAGGCATGATGCTGTGGGTCCCCTTCGCCTCGTGGCATGAAAAGACAGCCCTGTGGAGGAGAGTAGAACAGGCGAAATTGAAGAAGCCGAGGGGAATGGACTTCTGTCAAGAGCTGATGGAGAATTGCAGCCCCAATAGCAAGGTGGGGGGGGTAAAGGGGATATGGCCATGCCCTGGCCACCTCCCTGCCACCCAGTCAGAGTACATGACACACCAACCTTACAGGAAAAACCACAGAGACCCCTTTTAAGGAACTACCCCAGAGCCTTAAGCAATGCACAAAGTATGTCACGAAGATGGACTGGAATTGGATGAAACAGAGACATTTCACAACTGCTGGAGCGGCGCAGGCGGATGGCCAGGCTATAAGAGATGCCGCGCTTAGGACCAACCCCGCTCCAGCCCGAGTGGATCTCACTACTTCGTCAAGATGAGCAAGGCAAGTCCAATGGTGACTCAGGCGTTTAAGGTCTCCATGTTCTTTTCCAGGTGCCGGTTGGGCCATCGGAGGTGCAAGGACCCCCGGGGAGCCTCTCCTCACCGTGTGAGCTGCCATCGGTTGCTGGCAGAGGATAACCATCTCCGCTCAGGCTCATCCAAGCACAACCCACAAGGAGAGATGTCTCCTCCTGGAAGAGGCTCCCCACAGCACGGTCCGACCACCGAAGGGGCTCCTGGACATCAGATCTCATACTCTGTATCTCTACAGAGGTTTTTGCAGCGCTGCCAGCTATTTTGGGAGCCTTGCTCCAACAGCGCTCAGCTTACAGAAGGCACATTTTGGGGGGAAATCAGCTCTCAGCTATTATCTGTAGTTGCACATCCCAGAGCAGGCAAAGGCTGCAACTCCCTTCAGTCTCCTTTGGCTTGTAGATAAGAGCAAACTCAAACAAACAGCTCAAATTTATCCCCAAAAAAGAATGACTGAACAAAGCCAGGCTGCATCCTCATCTGGTGTGAAGCAGGTGGCTGTATCGGAGCCTTGCTGGTTTACATCAGACTTCCCCATCTATTGTGGCTCCTGACATTATTCAGTGCAATTGCTTCTTTTCCAGACCCCCCAGACCCGCGAACAGCGCTCTGAGCTGGAGAAAGCCATGGATATCATCATTGATGTCTTCCATCAGTACTCAAGGCGGGAGGGGAACAGAGACACCCTGACCAAGAAGGAGCTGAAGCTCCTGATTGAGCAGCAGCTTGTGAACTACCTGAAGGTGAGTGGAGTTTCTCATGACCCATGAGAAACTGGGAGGGAGCTGGGCTGGACCCCATCGCCTGAATGCCCCCAGAGGCTGGATTCACTCCCTTCCCACTCTGCTCTCCCGCGCCAACACCTTCTGCCCAGACCCTCCCTGTCCAACTGCCACTTTCCAAACATGCTCCATAAAGACAGATGAAGGAAACCCACCCAGGTCCGGGTGAACCTGCAGCCAGATATTTACCCTCATCCCCTTATCTTCAGAAAATCAGGATCATACTGCTCAAGAGCTCCTCTGCCATCTAGGAGCAACGATGTCAGAAACATCAGTGAAAAAGCCCATTTTTTTGTAACTCACTTTGCTAAAGCAGAAGGTAAAGTGTTTTTAATCCAACGCGTTAAAGGAGAGGTTTGTGGCTGACATGACACTGCTGCCTTCATCGGTCTCCACATTGCATGGTGTCCTTGCAGTGATGCAAGCCCGTTGCTTTCCGATTGCTTCATCGCCATGGGTGAATCATTGCTGTACCCAAAGCAATGGGTGATGATGGCACGAGGATGGAGCCACACACAGCACCAGACTATTGGGGGCCCAGCAGCTGTGAGGGTCCCAGAGAAGCCAGGAGGAGGCTTGAGCTGTGAATGACAGGACTGCCCTCACCCTGTCCCTTCCTTTGCAGCTCGTGAAAGACAAGGCCACCATTGACGAAATCATGAAGGACCTTGATATCAACAAGGATGCACAGATCAGCTTCTCCGAGGTGATGTTGCTGATCATCCGTGTGACCATTGCTGCCCATGAACACCTCCACGACATCGAGGACCAGCAGCAGCAGCAGCAACAACAACAGCAGCAGCTCAAACACCAACACCACCACTGAGGTGGGCTGCGGTCCCCGGCCAAAAGCACCCATGCAGTGCTTGCAGCCCCTGGCTTTTTCCCCTCCATCCCTCTCTGCCCACCTCCCTCTTTTTCTTCCTTCAAGTTTGATGGTTTTGCTGCCAAATAAAGATTTGCCCTGAGGCTGTCAAAGCTCTTCTGCGTGTCTACATGAGTTTTCCTCCAGGCAGGTCCTGCACCTTGCTCTCTCCCAGCATGGCTTTAAGCCAGGCAAATCCACCTTGGAGACAGGCTGCAGGTCCTCAGGGGTGAGGTGGATGTCTGGGGAGAGCAGGGTTCATTGCAGCAGGTGCTCACAATACTCCTTACATTAGAATGTGCTCGACAGGTCAGGGAAGGCTGTATGATTTGACACATCTTTGCATTTCCAACTAGAAAAAACCCTGTTTTGGCCTGAAAACACTCTGTGTCTCTCCTAGGACTGAACTGTGGTGGTAGGCAAGAGCTGGAAGGCAGGAAGGGGATGGCTGAGCACTCTTTTCTGGAGGAGCACCCTTTTTAGGGCACTGTTGCTCTGCAGGGCCCTAGCATGGGGCTGAAAGGGAGCTAGGGGGTGTGGATGCGTTTACTTTTAGTGCTACAGCCAGCAGCGAGGTTTGGCCACTGGGTTTTGTGTTGACAAGAACCAAGAACAACCCCAACTCCTCACTCGGAGCATCCTGGGTTTGCACCGAGGAGGTGTAGGTGTCCCTTATTAATAGCAGCTTTCCAGAGCGTGTGGCTGGAAATGCCTACAATGCAGCTGAGCAGCCTCCCACCGTGCACGCTTAGAGCCTGGCTACTGATTTGCAAACGTGTTTTGAGGGGAGGGGAAGGAACAGTTGTGATTTCTTAAGGGTGAGTCAAAGCCCTGAAATCTCCCTGCGCTGTGAAGGAACCTGCCACAAGCTTCCCCAAACCAGCAGCACTGAAGCAAGCCCACTGGTTAACACAAGACTGTTGCAAGTTTGCTTCACTGCTGCTGGCCAGGTTGCTTCAGCTTCCTTTGGAGTCAATGTTGACATCTGAAGCGTCAAACACCTTCTTACAAGGTAAAAATCTGCTGTGGGGATCAGAGTCTATCAGCTCTACCTGAGACTGCACAGGGTGGCAGGCCCCCTCCGGAGCCAGATGCTGCACCCAACACTCAATCCTGCACCCCAACGTGGGTCACGCACCCAATCCTACAGCACTTACAGCAGGTAAGAGCCCCACACCCAGGGAAGAGAGCAGAGCTGGTTCATTGCCACCACCACCCTGCCAGAGCAGAAGTACATCACCTCCAAGAACAGAGCCGTCCCCGGGGCTGGCCCATAAGGGGCTGGCCAGCTTTTGGGACAAGGGTGGCTCAGGTCCCATGTGCAGCAGATGAGCTTTTCAGGAGCTCAGTACCCTGCCAGTGGGTGGTCAGCCCTTCTCTTCTCTGCAGCAGAGAGGTCTCCCTGTGCAGGAGCCAAACACACAAATCTGGGTGCTAGGAGCACCCACAAACCATCCTGGGACCTTCCCCCAGGATTCAGGCAGGAACCTGCCTCAAAGCTCGTGGTGCTGATGCAACAGGATATTTGCCAACACAGTGGGGCTTTACACTCCCCTGAAACCCAGGGTGCAGGACTCCTGTTGTGTCACCCGCCGGAGCTGTTGGACCATCGCGCCGGAGGTGGCGAAGAACGAGCCACTACACACCCTCAGCACAGCAGGACCAGGACAGCAATGCAGGGCTGTGAGCAGCCAGAGGCAGTCGTCGGGTCCTCCCTTAATAGGGGAGCCGTCCTTAAATCTATATGCATCCTTTCACCCCAACAGAGCTCGCAGCTCCTGAACAGAGGAAACGCCAAAGCAATGCAAGGAAGGTGTTGGATACACCCCAACCGCGCTGTATCCCACGCTGCAGAGGGATGCTCAGTCAGGCTGATGGGCAAGGTGCTCTGCTGCCCATGGCCACGCTGCCTGTGTGGGGATGGGGATGGCACCTGGGTTCCTCCAGCCTTGCTGCCCCAAGAGCAGTTCTCCAGCAGCACAAAGCAGGAGGTGTGCAGCCCCTGGCCCCACCTGCCTTCACCCCCAGGTTATAAGGCAGGATTCGACCTTTGCAAGCTGAGGACCAGGCAGCCTGCGACAGGTTCCTGCTGCCACCTGGTGGCATATGCCACCGAGTCTGCTGGGGCCACCACCAGCCCCGGAACCCCACAGTCCTGCCCTGCTCCCCAGGGTTGCACCCTGGCCCATAGACCACAGTCACAGCCCTGTCCTGTGACCCCCTGTTCAGCACACCCCTTATTTCGACACCACCAGTGCTGTTTGCAATAAGTAGGATTATTTTGATTTGTGTGCCAGAAACAAAAACTTTATTTTTTGGGCTAAGCTGGCAGCATCAGGACGTGCACCAATTTGCAAACACCCAGAACTCCTCTCCCATAGCCCCCCTGCCCAAGCCACCACACAGTTTTGCTGGTAAGGGCTCCTTTCTTTCTCAACGCTACCACATCAGCTCTTCTTACCTGTGTCCTATGGGAAGCAGGAGAAGGGAGAAGTACCACAGTTCCTCCAGGGTACAGCTCAAAGGAGCAGGCAAATGGTGGATGCAGATAAATGCTAAATCCTCCTCTCCTTTCCCTGCCTGGGGGGAGGCTGTACCCCACATCCTTCTCCCTGAGCTTTGCCTCAATGCCATCAGCTTACATTCAAACCCTGCAGAGGGTCCCAGCCTGGCCCCTGCCTGAGGGCTACATCTCCCCTAACTGCCACCCCATCCTGTCCCACCAAAATAGCCTTGGGGTAGCCCTGCCAGCTCCTCACACTGCTGACCCCCTCCCAAAGCTCCCAGGCTGGAGAAAATGGGCTGAAGGCTACAGGGCTGGGTTTTATGAACGACCCGGCAATGAGGGGATGTGATCCAGCTGGGGCTGATCCCGCCCAGCTGGAATCCAGCCCAGCCCCAGCATCCCCATCCTGCCTGGTCCCCCTGCCCACCCCGGACCCCCTCCATGCCTTGTTGACCTCCTCCACCTGCTGCAGACCCCCTTCACCCCCCGCAACGCCCTCCACGTGGGATCAGCAGCCTGGTGGCTGGCTAAGGAAGGGTTGCGCAATGCCCAACGCTGTGGCAATTGGGGACTTTGAAGCACCATGCACGTCGCATTCGTTATCAGTCTAGACATGCCGATAGGGATGAGCCACAGTGGGGTTAAACTGGTTGGTCCTGGGGTGCCAGTGAGGCCCGTGGACAGGACCCGACCCACTGCCATGTGCAAACCCACGCCCAGAGCCCAGCAAAGCCAGCCTGACGCTGCTATGGATGGGGACGTGCCGCCGCGGGATGGCACCGACGTGGCAGCAGACTCAGAGGGAGTAGCCAGCGGAAGGGACTGGCTCAGAGTGATTCAGAGCAATTTTCCTCCTAATTCCCCTCATTCCCCGGGCACACGTGTGCTAATCGAGGCGGCAGCAGTGGAGGGAGGAGTATGGTGGTTGTAGGTGCCATTGCCATGTGTTGCCCTCCCATCCTCCTCCGCAAATGCTTCCTGCCTGGTGCGGTGGTTTCCGCACCGCCATGCCTGGTCACACCCCAACATCCCCCGTCCTGAGGTCCTTCCTGCACCTGGACATGCACCGTCCCCATGGCAGAGTGATGCTCTTCCAAGACCTTTTGTACAGAGATAGGGACCCGCCAACATAAAGCCTTAAACCCTGAGCACTTGGTCATCGGGATGGCTCCAGCCCATGAGAAAACACTCCTTTGCCTGCGTCTCCATCAAGGGCATGGCCAGGAGCAGCAGGTGCTCCGGCTCATGGAAGAGATGTCGTGGGGATGTCGATCTCTCTGTGGGGTTTGTGCTAAGCAACCTGGCAAGGCTGTACCCCAAAAAGTTGCGAGGTAAATTGTGCTGCTGTCTGTGCTCAGTTGCCTGGCCACCCCAAATATAGCCCTGAAGTGAGTCCCCCTAGGCTGGGGCTCTGCCGAAAGCTCCAGCTCCCAGGGACCGTAAGCTACGAGAGCAGCCTCTGAGCTGATCTGGCTTCCACTGAAAGTATCCGTGTGCCGGGCAGCCCTTGCTGCAGAGGGCCTGCAGTGACTTGCTGCCTCTCGTCTCACTGTGCCAGGGTAAAATTTAGCTCTAGACCATGGTCTGCATCTCATTTACAACCCACTTAATTGCAGAGATGTCTTGTGCTGCGCTGGCGGTGTCAGCAGTGGTACGTGGGCGGCACAGGTTGGCTCCAGCAACCCCTCCTCTCCCAAAAACGCTGCTACGAACCCGGCCCTGCAAATGCCGCCTGGGAAGATTGATGCAGAGCATGATCTCATCTGGCTTTGTACCGTATCTGGCAATCTTGGAATGGTGCCTGAGCCCTTAATGAAAGCTGGCACACCCTTCATAGCAGGGAGGGCTTGTTACACCCCCTTTCCAGGTGAGCAAACCTGGGGTCATTGACTTCTCTGAGACCACACAGAGAATCAGCCGAGAGCCAGGCGTCCTGCTCTGGCTGCCTCGCTGCAGCATCCCCGCAGCCCCTGCGTCTTGTTCTTTCCCCGGGACCCCTGGGGCAGCCTGGTCCCATCCACAGCTTGATGTGCTCTGTCGGGGCTGAAATGCAGCCTGGCCCCTATGCACGGCTCGGTTTCCTCCGTCGGGGTTGAAATGCAGCCTGGCACCAGGGCCATGCTGCTGGGACGGGCAGTGGCTGTCCCTGTCCCATTGAGACTTGTAGTAAGTGACTTTCCCACGGGAGGGAGCTCATAACCCCGTTGGCCACGGCGGCTGGCATCACTGGGCATCCCCACACCGCCGTCACTCTTGGGAGCAGGCTGCCCTGTTTGAAAAGCAGCTCAGTGCTCTTTCTCCTTTCTCACAGAAGAAACCACAGCTCTGATGCCACTGTCCGAGCTGGGCAAACATGTGAATGCAGTCTGGGCCCGGTGGCATCCCACACAAGACTTGTGGGACAGCCTCAAAAATAAGATTAAAACCACCTTTTCTGCAGGAACTTCATTTGTCTAAGACATTTTCTAAGCTTCGGCATTGCAAAGTCCCACGAACTCACAAATCACCTTGGCTGTAAAAGAAAAAAACCCTTTTGGGGGAAGCTAAATGCAAACTTTCCTATATGAAGAGAACCCCCGGTTAGCTTTTTTTTTGATCCAAGGAGATGTCT